CCTGAATCTAACTTCTTCTTTTTTCAATTTTGGTCCTGAAACGTGTTGTGGTTTTACTTAGACATCCCCTGAATCTATCTTCTTTCTTTTTTCAATCAAGTAACAAATTCAACTGATGATTACAAAATAGATGAGAAATCAATCGACTTACTGTTGAATCAAATGGTGCTTGAAAAACTTCCTAAATCTCTGATTCTACATGGGATCAAAGATTCCAATGGATTGAACTGAAATGATTCGTCAAGATATTAGGGGGCATATGTCGCCTTCGTCGCCTCTAATGTGTATGTGAGGTGTTTTTTCCTTCAAGTGCAGTTTTGTGGGTGTGTTTGTGTGTTTTTCCTTTAATTGCAGGTTGAGAAGAAGGGCTGCAGATCTAAAATGGAAATAGAAATTGGGGAAGGGAAATGAGCTGATGTATCTAGGTGATGACGAGAGAGAGAGAGAGAGAGAGAGAGACCATTTGCATATTATTTTCTTTTTTTAAAAAATAAGAAAAAGCATCATAAATGGTCCCTGTGGTAGTGAAATGACGAAAATGCCCTTCAGTTAACGGACAAAAGTTAACGGAGTTAGCAATAAGGACCAATCGTCAAAAGTTTTGAAAACACAGGGACCATCTATGACGTTTTTAAACCACGGGGACTAAACTTCAGATTTTGGGAAACCACAGGGACCATTTATGATGTTTTTTCTATACTTTTATATTATGTTTTTACATATTTATGTATTTTGTAAGTATTTTTAAATATATTTTATGAATTTTTACATATTTTAAATATATAAACATATTTTGTATGTATTTATGTATATTTTTAATGTATTTTAACATAAAAATACTTAATAATATACATATATACGTACAAAATACGTTTATATATCTAAAATACATAAAAACACGTTTAAAATATATAAAACATACTTAAAGAATATATAAATACGTAAAAATATATAAAATATATAAATACGTATAAATACATAAAAAAATATGTTTATGCATTTAAATACATAAAAAAACATATATATAAAAACACTTAAAAATGCAGAATATATAAAATTAACGTAAATATACATATAAATAGGTAAAAAAATACTTTATACACTAAAAAGGATTTATATATATATATATATATATATATATATATATATATATATATATATATTTTGATATTGCTATATTTATACATATATTTAGATAGTATTTTAATACATTTTAAGCTATATTTTGGTTAATGCCAAAGATATTTGGTACTTATTGAGTTAAATTACAATATGCAACAAAAAAGGACATTCTTGAAGGAAAGGGATCAAAGATGACAAAAGACGGAGTCTTGGAGGCCAAAGTTAGCAGCGACATGGATTTGGAAGAGAAGTCGTGCAGTTTTGCATGCCTTGACGTGGCGATCTCAAGGCCACAACGTGGCTACGTGTCGTAATCTAGAAGCTTCTATGACTTGCCGCATGCGGGATTTCATAGAAGACCACGACATGGTGGCAGTCAACC